ATTGAAGTGGGAGGGGGGGGGGACTTTATTAGAAACCACAGTCTAAAATGGTTCTGTCTGATGAGAAGCTTCTCCCCTTCTTCGGGTTTTGTATTATGTCCCCACCTTCGCTAATCGGGGGGCCTTCGTCGTCAATGTGTTCTCTCTTAATGAGTGTTCGATATTCTGACCATCTGCGTCGTGCGAATTGATAAATGATTCTCTGTCTTTCGACGGGGTTGAAAGTGTTTTTTATTAAATCTAAAATATCCTCTTCCATGTTAGTAGAGTGAGAAATGAGATTTCCGAATTAAATATTTGTTCAATTGCATTGGCCGTAGTTTTTAAACTTCGTCCAAGACCACATTCAATTGCATTTGTTGTACCACCTACTACTAATCCAGCTAGAGCGTTTCCTATTGAGCCATATAGAGCCTTATTTGCGTATTTTCATCTACAAAGATGTTATGTTCCTTCTTATCATTTTGGAGCTCCGGTTCCTACTCCTTAATGATCTCTTGCTCGGTTTCCTATAGCTTCATTTCGGCTTCTTCCCATTTAATTGTAGGTTCGTAAGGCTATTCAAAGCCATCTGATGTGTTGAAATCTCTATACATTTTCTTACTTGCCGTTAACCGGGAGCATACTATGTTCGTATTGTTAACTCTCGATGGTCTCTTTTGGTGTATCAACCTCTAGTATAACATGTCCGTTCTCAAGATCAATAAACAAATGAATGAAATGGTTTATTTAAAATAAGCATCAAAGAGTGCATCTTTCACTTTTTCGTTCTTGAGAGGTTAAGCTCTTATTTGCACCGCGTTGGTGTCTATATACGCCTTCTTCTCACAATTAGGGACATGTTCGGCTACTGAGTGGAAGTATACTTCCAATTCAGTCTCCACAACCACATTTCCATGTAGAAATACCATTTCTGTAGATTCGTCGAGAATCTTTTGGAATGGCATTTGAAGTACAATCATGACGTGGTTGTCGTACCAATAACAGGTATTCGGATAAAAAATCTTTTTGCGCCAAATTTGGCGTCAATTTGAAATCGTTCACCTCCAAGCAAATTTTTTCAAGCGTTTTTAGTCGTCAACGTAATTCTTGGCCCCTGCATTAGAACGATGGTTCGATTGAGAAGATTGTCGAAATGAAATGCTGTATGATCTCCTCGACGTCAAATAGTTCAAGCTATAAGGAACAAATATTTAATTGGATATGAAATTGTTAATGATCCTTACCATTAGATGAGAAGTTATTAGATTTGCTAATAACGTTAAACCGATATTTGGTCTGACCCTTGAATATTAATGTGTTCACCTTCGTTGTTCTTTTGTCCACAATTTGGACAATATCATTGAGGATTTCCGCAATAGGAACTTTATTCTGGTTGCGCATCATCATCCAATTGGTTCCGAGCTCAATGTCTTTGGTCTTTATCACTGAACATTCGTGGTTCAATTCTTCCAGATTCCGAAGATACATATTCTTTCGCTTCCTCTTTAACCGAGCGGTATTGAGACCGTGTATCTGGTGTTTAGCAATTTCGCACCACTAATCCTATGGAGGAGTTTAATCTTGTGATTTCCCCCCACGTTGAAGATATTAAAAGGTATTTTAACAACAATCATTACGCTCTTCAGTACATTTCACTTTCCTACAGCAAATTTTGGTTTGTAATAATAATATCTGATTGGAGGATTGAGTAGTCCAAATTCATGATGAAGTTCTCCGGATGCACCACCCGGTTGAACAACAGGCATATCCAGTACATTCATGTCTGACCATGAGAATTCTCCCTATCTGCATATGGTGTTGTATTTGAGTTGCACCTTCACTGGATTCGATTTGCTGAATAGCCGTCTTCACTGATTCACACTGACATGTCAAATTGAACCTTATCGACAAGTACATCAGTTCCTATTGTTTGACGTGTCGATGATAACAGTCGACTCAATTTTATTTTACCACATCCAAATTATAGGAATGGATAGAACTTTTCCAGTTGGGACAAAGTGTAATTTGTAGTCGTCATGACAGTATCGCATCACTAAAGGTTCTAAAATTGTTGCGTTCACGACAAACGCAGTTTGTTGAGAGTTTTTCGTTGTATTCTCATATAGACCAGTAACTGCTACCATGAATCTATTCCTAAACGTGACTATATGTCCTGTAAGGATAAAAGTTAGACGTTTGCCAAAGGACATAGCTGGATAGGACAACGACGTCCTACAGCTATAGCATCTCTAGTTTCTCTCTTGAGAACTTCTACCTCAGGTACTGGTTGAAGGTCTGCTTTATCGCCTCCCATGTTAATAGATGAATAAAAGACCATTTGAACACAGAGATAACATTCATTCGAACATTTTTTTCTTTTTAGGTGAAGTCGGCTGTTGTAGTTCTTCCTGAATTACTGCAGAACTCCTATCGTTGGCGACAAACGCATAACTCAACTGGTACCTTTTGATCAACTCCAACGAGATCTGCTCGTCGATATTGTACTGTTTGGCTACTAAACGTCTTGATCTCTGGAAGTAAAGAAGACACTGAGGTCCTCACTAGTGGTTTCTATTTCGGTTATACGTGTCAAGAATCACTTGCACGGTTTTTCGCATTTATCTTAAAGCTATCTCCTCCAAGATGACATTTGTAGTCGATTTTCCATACGACCAAATGTCCTGCTAAATAAGTTGTCAAAATGGTCACCATGTCAGCTGACTGTCCCAAGTTATTGGGAATAAAGACAGCATTAGAGGAAATTTTGAATTAGAAATGATATTGTCAGTGCTCCTTACCAAAAGATGCGGTGTGTATTTCCATTAGGCCGCTAATTTCACCTCGGAGGGCAGCGGAAATTGATGTTATTGTGCCTGATCATCATCATCAATATGGATTGGATAATATTCACTAGCTCATTCATTCTATTGGCTATATTACAACCAATGGTTCGCTTCTGCAAAACTATATAAATATCACCGAACTTATTCGCAGATAGTCAGTTATGAAGAGGATCAGTATCAGCCAATTTGATCCCAATTCAATATCTTTCGCTTTCTGTATGCAAACGGAGTATTTGCAGTTTGGCTATTTCTCTACTGAACACCGATGGAAGAATTCAATGTCGCGATTTCTTCCACAGAGAATAAATGGTACATATCACCATATTGGCGAGCAACTATTTACTGCACTTCATCAAGAAGTGAGTCAAATTTCACTTTGCGAGCGTTTTCAAAGACATGTGGTGATAAATTTAAGCGGTCTCCCACTCGTCTCACCATTCAATCCCGACTTTCATGACTGTTTCACGATATTTAAGTTATTGCATGAGTAAATATATGTTTCCTACGATATGCCTTGCATTCTTTACTGCCCACGAACAATCAGGAGATACTAAGCAGTCACTAAGTAGACGGGAGAAAAGTTCTTCCCCCCCCCCCCCCTCATCGACTCCAAAATTGTCGTTTTCAAGGTTGCCTTGGTCGCTGGATCGTTCAGCTGTCTTTTGTAAAACCATTAGATTATGGCTTCACTTCATCTGAAGTTACGTTTTAGAAATAGATTCATGATGACCGCACGTGGCTTATTTGAAAATATTACCTAAAGTGTCGACAAAATGCGTTTGTGGACAAAAATACGTTCTTATATCATAGTTATTTATTTACATCAAATGTCAGGCGTTTCGATAGTTATCATTAGCCCATTAGTTGACTTCAGGCTTCATAGAAGGGAAGGAACATGAAGGGAAAAATCGGAAAGGGGGACGGAATAAAGATTTACTTATGTAAAAGGGAGGAAGGTGAGATGATTACTGTGGGTAAGTGGTAGAATATGACATGCTGTCGGGTCATGGTGGTTTGAAGTGAGAAATCAACTATCGGTTAATGGACATTTTAGCCGTATGAGTATACGTTGACCAGGATGCAACACGTGGTGGTAGGTCTATGGCACACCCCTTCTTAGAACATTTTATGAGGGGATACTGACATGCTGACAATAAATCAACATTAAGTTCTAAATGGCACAAGTCGTATCTCTCCGTATGGTTTGCCAGTGGGATGGTTAAAATTATTATGCTATTACCGTCTACTGGGGATGTGGCATTTAGTAGATAATAATCAATTTGACGATTCCAATTGTAAGCTATTGGGTGTAAGTGAAGACGGTTTCCAAACACAATTGAGACTTGTGGAAAACCTTTCGAAGTATGGCTCTATTTGCATTTAAGGTGGGTTATATTTAACAGATATGAATGGGTTTGCCAAGACTATTATGTGGACCACTGTAAAATTTGAACAATTCTACTATGAATTCAGTGTACCAAATGCGCCATTTAGATGCTACTATGCCAATCCTATATTTGATGAAGACAAATTCAATATGCTACATAGAGAAGTAGTGGTTTATCGTACTTTAGTATTAATTCTATATTCTTCTAACCACCATCATCGTAGAGCTTAATGATTGCTCTACAGATGCCTTTTCAAAAGAGGCCTTTATGAAGCCATTGTAATGGTATTTACACTTAGTAATGTCGTTGTTGAGGCAGAATAGGAGGAGTACTTTCACTCAGAGCCGGAACATGTATCTGACTTTGGGAAAAGGACCTATATTAATTTGCGCCAATCTATCATGCCCTTTTTAAATAAAAGTATTCAATAATATGCTCGTTAGTCTCGAAAACAGGTGTGTCATACTGGAGGTAGTTGCGGGCATACAGTATGAAAGTAGTATGCTCACGGTTGAGGGATATCATACCGATGAGGTTTCCCCAAGTATGTGTGCAAGTGCCGAAGGACATGGGGCGAGATGGCATCCAATGGCCGAAGACCAATCATATCACTGAGTGCTTTGGTGGAGGGTAGTCAGATCGGTTCGTCGTTGTGAATTGGATGAGTAACGCAGTTTGATTGGATAAAATTCATTGGCTCATTCATTCTATTGGCAATTTCACAACCAATGGCGTGCATCTGCAGAACTATATAAATAGCACCGAACATATCCACAGATAGTCAGTTATGGAGGGTGTGGTGAGATCGCGGGCTATGTTGTCGCGCTCCTCTGGTTCCAGATCTCGCAGCAGATCCAGTGGTGGAAGCGATTCTAGAATAAACTACGAGCCAGATTGTTATATCACACAACTTCTAGAGAAGCTTGAGCAACGTGGAGTGACCCACTTCGATGATGTCTATCAAGAATTTACTGCGGAGGAAATCAAAACGTTCATAATTCGAATAGGTCTCAAATGGCGAAGTATCGCCAAGCAGAAAATTGCCTCCATGAACATGTTGAAACTCGAAAAGGAAAAAAATCAGAGTTATCTCCGAAATCTTGAGAGTCAGCCTCACTTGTGCAAGGTGGAAGAAACCAAGGAGGTGGAGATTGGTGCCGATTGGCTGGACATGCTGATAAAGCAAAATAATATCGACACACGGGAGCTCCTAGAAGATATTGTTGCTATAATGGATAAGAGAAGGGAAAGGGTCAATACTTTGTGCTTTTGTGGCCAAACTAATACAGGCAAAACGTTGTTGGAAACCCTCATAACTTCGCATCTAACGGTAAGAAACTTTGACAGTGTCATTCCCCATTATATATTTGATCTGATATTGTCTTCTTGGTGCTTAATAGATCGGGACAGTGCACCGAAGAAGAGATTTTAACTACCTCGTTAATAGAACGGTTGCTCTTATGAGAGATCCCATAGTAACAAAGGCAACAAAAAACGACTACAAGTGTCTACTTGGTGGAGATCGCTTAGAAGTAAATGCAAGTCGTGGTGCACGCCACTTTCTACCTCGAATACCAGTCATAGCCACAGCAAGTAGGGAGCTATGTGACCAATTGACTTCTGTCGACAAGGCCGATTTGTATTCCTGCATAAAGCAATACAACTTGCATGTGCAAATCAATTCGGTCTTAGTTCGTGGGGCAATACCCGAATGTCCTGTCACTTTATGTGCATGTCACTTGCGAGAATTATTCAAACGCTATGACTTTTATTAATTATTTAAATGTGTTCAATGAAAAAATAAAAATGACTTTGTACGTGATACACTGGTCTTCTAATAATTTGAGATTTTGGGTGCTGAGTGAGATGGGGATAGAGAGCAAACGACCAACCTCTACCTGAAGAGGTGGTTCTCAAAGGGAGCAGTTGAAGGCTCAGAGACGCTAAGACAACAACTGCCATGCTGTGACATTTAGAAATAGATTCCTGGTGACCGTACTTGGCCAAGTCGAATATATGACTGAAGAGTCTCAACAAACTGCTTTTGTGTCTAGAACCTTCCCGAAACCTTTTGCCATGAAATACTAGCATGGGGATAATAAGTCTTCACTTAATTCGAAATGAATCAAGTCTTATCCATTCGTTTCAATTAGAAGTGATAGAATAAAAGTGAGTAGTCTAATACCGCCTGTCTCTGTTGGTAGGGTTCAATTTGACAATTCAAATTATATGCTAGTTGAAATTAGTAAATATAAATAGCGTACAAGATTGAACCCAGTGGAGGAATTACTCAGATATGGAACTATTTGTAGTAAATGAGGATATATTGGATATTGCATTTGCTATGACATGGATTATTAGGAGAAATAACTGGCAGTTGACTTCTGACTTCTAACTACTTAGATCCGACGCGATGTCATATTAAACCACTAACACAGTACTCATCTTACCTTTTCTCGACCTTTGTATCTGTCTGTCTGTCTCTCTAACATCTGTGAGTCACTCTTCTGTCCCTCCTCTCGTATTTCCCCTTAGTGATGTTCTCCTCTCTGATATCCGATGTCAGCTAGAGGCCTATTGATAATTATCAAAACGTCCGCCATTCGAATTAAATAAATATACTACCAAGAAATTAGCTGTGGCCTATCTTACTTAAATACTAAATCTACTATCTTCCAAGCACCTTCGTGAATTGTTTGAAATGGTATTCCCACAAGAAAGTGTCCTTCCACTCATTACTTGACACGGAAATAGACCTTTATTGACGCCAACATGGTTCAGATAACTTTGCGGAGTGGGTTCACCGAGTGAGGAACTTAATTTACAAGTGCTTAGTTGAATGCCGAGAGAGGTCAACGCAACAGACGACTATCAATGACCTATTAACCTAAAACTTATCAATTCAATTTAAACTCAATTTCGTACGGTGAGCATTAAACATCCTAGCAACTCAACTGCCGAAGAGTTGATGATATTATCAACACAAATTCATTAAATTGTTTACCATCATTCAATTATATGAGCACTCTATGATCTCGATATATGGACATCTAATTGGCGCAATTTCGCATGTACACGATGACAGGCCTGGCAACGCCAACTCATCAGATACCTTCCTGCCTCGAAGAAAAGGCGAAGAGAGGGAAGGGGAAGAGAAAGAGGAGATCAAAATGACTAACTGGGGAAATGTCCCATTTGATGAGGAGTATCAAAAAGAGGCAGTCTGCGTTCTTTTGGTGGGTTGTAAAACTAGTGCCATTACAAATGATCATTGATTGGTACTATTAACAACTTCAAATACTATGTAAAGAATAACTTAAATTCAACTGCCATTTTCGTAATCAACTAAGTTAATTTACCAAAATTTATATTTTAGATAATACCTCCAGACAGTGATGGAAACTTGTCACAAATTTATGCCATCGATAATGAGAAACAAAATTCCATTAATCAATAATTCCCATTCAGTTGGTCAAGGTACTGCAAAAATAGCGTCATGACGTCGACACGCACGGTTGAGTGGGCCATCCCCTAATGCAGGGTTTAGTTGAGTGAAACAAGGAGAGGGGGAGGTCTCTCCCGAGGATATCGAGCGCAAAACTCTGTCAAACCAAAAAATGTCTCTTAATGTCTCCATATAAGACTGTCCCCCCCCCNCCCCCCCCCCCCACCCCTCATCCCCCACCGCCAACCCACACCCCCTCATGTCAATAATCCTATAACCCCTGCAGCTATTTTTGACCCATTTTTTCAACATGCCTTTAATAGTACGCCAGACATTTTAATTTATTTCAAATGGCAGGCGTTTTGATAGTCATCATTAGCCCGTACGCCAGACATCGAATTAAAAGATTGAGAACGAAATTGGTCTTACTGCAAAACCTATATGCCAATTATCCCTGTCGAAAATGCACATATAATCAACTCAGTCAAGGTTACAAGACGGCCAAAGAATTGTATAAACAGATAACGAGAAATTGACAGTCGAACAAGACCTTGGTATAAAGAACAACGAGAAATGTTACGAAGGTGCCACTAATTGAGGAAATGCAGGTTTCATTCCCATATCCTATGACTTGCGATTGTTCGCAATTTATTTCATTGCAGTCGAAAGTGAGATTTCATGAAGGAATGTGGGTTGGCAACGCATTATCCATTCACGTTTGGTAGTATTAGGCCATTGCAAGTGGGTGACGCTACAGTGACAAATGATTGAGTAGACATCGGAACTTATCTTTGTTCACCGATTTTTCTCCTCGTTAATGTGAGAACAATTAACTTACAAGGAGGCGTCTATGTTCTTCAATCTATGTCTTGTTTTTGACATTCTAACCCTCTCTTCGTTGCTTTAACTCACGACACGAGGGGCTTGTAGTGTCCAGAGACGATTGGGCACTATTCGGAATCAGGAAGAGGAAGAGAGAGTGGAGGTGGACTCATAATAGATTATGGTAAGTTACCAGACGGTAAGAGATAGAGAAGTGATCTTAATGACTCAGGTATTAGGAAAAAGGGAGTAGTAAATGCAGGTTCCCATCCAGGCATAACAATATGTGTCTCGCTGCCCATGACTCCTTCCACTATTCATCACAGAGAAAATAATGAAAATATTAATAAAAATAACCTTCTGGAGTTAACATCAAACGCATGGGGTTATTTACAGTTATCGAAATGCAATTTTGATGCAAGATATGCCGTCTAATTCCCACTAAATCCATATGCACTTATCATTAAGCATTAAGACAGTGAGTAGCATATACTTTATTTTATCATTTGCTTTACCCAACACGTCCATTTACTGGCACTCAAGACATTGAAAGCTCGCTTCTCTGAACTTGAAAGGCATCTCTGGGGAAAACAGGTCTCCCAATGCAATAACTGCACTAAAAGAGGAGCCAGGACAAGAAAGACAACTTTTACTGCATTTTGACAAATTCCCGATTTTTGTTCTCTAAGGCAAAGAATATCTCATCTAGTCAAGCTTACTGAGATGTTGTTTAATTGCTGATTTGAGCAAATAATTCGTCCCTATTTGTGTCTGACGTTTCTTAAGCGACAGGGAAATTATCTGACCGACGAATGGGCAGCAACTCTAGACTTTTGCAATGACAAAATGGAAGGAGGGTGGGGAGGGAGGAATATGGGAAGACAACTTGTTTTCAAACTCATCTCCACTTTATGCCTACCATATTGATTGCAACCAAAGGACAACATGTGTCACAATCTGAATTAAATTGTGAAAGTCAGTTCAATGAAAATTCGGTCAGTGAGTATTTTGTAAAATGCTCTTCTTGGGGGAGTCCATAAAGTGAAATCCCAATTGTGGTTTATTGAGTTTGCCCATGTATCATCCTTCTTCATTCATCGTCTTACTCCAACTTTTCCTCCAAAATATCCAGCTTCATATAGCTCTTCCTAATTTAAAATCCACTCTGCTCAAGCAGTGTTCATACTTCACCATTTCTCCTACTTTCTCCACAAGGCCATTTGCAGTTTAGAACACTCGCTCTCCCCCTCCCTTCCTCTGTCCCTAGGAATTGAAACTATTTGTCAATAGTATCTGATTTGCTGCAATTGAATTAAACTGTTCACAGTCTGTTCGAAGAGGTGGTTAATCTGTCAAGTTTGAATTCACACCCACCGACCTCTAGAATCAATCGCATTCCTACCCAGTGGGATCTCTTCTCTAATAAAAGCCTACGCCTCGGCTTTCGTAGCTGCTGAGAAATGACCAATTTTGCAATGCATCAGAGGTTTTCGATACACACGGACCAAAGCAATTCTACCCTTCTATCACAACTTGTATCCGCCAGAAGGTGTCAGCTACCAATTTGTCGATTCTGGGGTACTTAGATGGCAGGTAAAGTGCCATACCATCCAGAATGTTTCGGTTGAGTCTTGCGTCAGAGACAAGACATTCAAAGGTGCTCAATTTTACATGCTTTAATCCCACTCTGCCCACATTCATGATAATAGAACTCTGGCGTCAGCATACGGTTAATCAGGTAGTGAGCATATGACCCTATCACAAATCATAAAATTTCTTACCCAACAGGGGTGTCGAATGACAAATGTAGAAGTCCGCCCAATCTACATTTGCCGTACTCCTAAGTCTTTGCATCAACTGCGCGTGATATAGGATAGTATTAGTTCAACCGCGCAGATGTACGTGGAGGAGTGCTTCGAGAATAAAGCAAAGTGCCTACTCTTACCACTTTAACCGCTTTTGCTTGACGGTGGCGCAAACCAAATTCAATGCACCAGCATCGAAAACGCAAGACAACTTGTAAAGTACATAATATTAGTTCTAGGGGACTTCATACACAGAGGAGGAATACGAGAAGAGGGCAGTGAATTGTCGGGTGAGTGGTGGGTAGGAAAGGACATGTCGCCAACAATTAATGTATTCACGAGCTGCTTCTCCATTTGGAAGGGGTACGGAGGAGAAATCGCATGCTATGATAGGCGAAATGTAGGAATTTTTGAACTTGCAATAGGAAATGAAGAAGAGACGTGTAACACAACTTGACGATATGTTGAGGAAATTGGCGATTGAGGAGATTGCTCCTTTCAACTC